GGGAAAAAAAAATTCAGTCAGAGCTGAATTATGCAGACACTGTCACGATAGAAATATAAAAATGAAGTGGTTGCCTGACACCCGAGAAGTACTGTATACAGTTTGAAGAACTTCCAGAGGCATGAAAACACCCTGGAAATCCACAGATCCAGAAGGCAACACCAAAGGCTTGGTAATCTCCCATCTGGAACCCTCTGATCTAATTCCCTAAAGGAGTAAAGATAAAAGGAGTTTTCTACTTTAGGAAAACTATTCAAAAGTACAGTACGCAGTGCTTCTCAGATTTGAAGACTGAACTTTTTCCCCCCTCCTCTCCAGGTATTATTTTCTTTTAGCTCTCAGAACTCTTAAGGAAGAGAGTTTGAAAACATTACCAACTTATGAGTAAACATCTAAGCAACCTTACAAAGTTTAAAACATAATAGTTGCATAAGAAACCAATTTCCATGTTTTCTTTTTGAATTCTTTAAAGACTAAACAAAAAAATATTTATATTTAGTGCATTTAAAGAAAACTTACTACCATTTAAAATAATTTGTCTCTATATGAGGGGGGTACCCACCCCCCAAACCAGAAAATAGCTCTGTTGAGCAGATCTTTTGTAGTGTGCATATTTCCAGCTTTTTGAACATCCAGCAACTCACTCTGAGATAGTGCACCCAGTGGTGTCTCCTGGGGAGGTTCTCTCTGGTCACAGTGAAATTTTTTCATAAAAGCAGTTTCGTTCGAACCTCGATTTTTTTGTGTGTGATAGCTGAGCTAAAAGGACAGCATGCGGCTGTGAAATTTTGTTTCCTGCTTGGGGAAAGTTGCCACAGAAACTCTTGTGTTGTTGAACACAGTCACAAGGATAATGCTATGGGAAAAACTCAACTGTACCAGTGGTGTTCGCGTTTCAAAAAAAAAGGTGAAATGTCGATTGATGAGAAACCTCATTTTGGGTTTCCATCAATTTCCCAAGTAGACAATATATTAATTTATAGTGCATTTGGAGTTCATTCCACCAAGCCAAGACTGTTAATCAAGCTTTCTCTTTAGATGTTCTGAAAATATTGCACAACAGTGTGACCAAAAAGGGCCTGATTTGTGGTAGATGGGGAACTGGTTTTACCACCATGACAATGCACCTGCTCTCGCAGCCATATCACTGCACCAGTTTTTGGCAAAAAAACTTGCATCCTCTCATGCCCCACCACTTTCCTCATCTGACCTTGCACATTTCTGCAAATGAAGAGGGGAATGAAGAGGGAAGAGGTGAAGAAAAAAATGAGGAAGGTGCTCTCAACCATCCAGACAGATGAGTTTGAAAAATGTTTCCAAGAATGGAACCGCAGATTTGACTAATGTATTAAGTGTAAATGATATAAATGGGAATGAAATAATATTTTTATAATTCATTTTAAAACTGAGTTACAGTATATTTACTGAAGGAACTAATCATTTAACTTAAGACTACTATTGCTAGAATATGAAATATCTGATTTAATTATGTTCTAAACAACAGATCCCCTGGTGAATTAATGCCAATGGAATCTATTATGAAGCTGGATAATGTAGATTTTATATTAAAAAACAAAACAGGTTAAATAGCATTTCCTGTTAGCAAGCTAACTGTTATATAATTAGGTAGCAGGAAGAAAAAAACATAACCTCTTTAACTCCAGGTTTAATGTTTTATTTATGAATGTGACACTTACCACCCTCACCTGGTTTGAGATCCAGGCCAGGCAGAGACTCTGAATGCAGGAAGTACAAAGTGGGACTAACGGTAAATAACACATAATTGTCGTGGCGTTCATCTAGGATGATGAGCACCAAATCTCCCACCTGAAAACTAAAAGAAAAGACATGTCCTGTAGATCTGTCAACTTAAGTATACCTGGAGGGCCTTCCAAAAGTTTGTGTTAAAATTCCATTAGCTTTTCAACAATATTTTCCAGGAACTTTTTGAAGCTCTGTCATATTATTCTGTCATGCTGTAGTTACATTTCAAGTAAGAATGCAATATTAGATTTCAGGTTTACATGATGCTCTTTTTGCACTCTGTGCAGCAGCCTAAGGGGAACGCTGGGTAGACAAAAACAGACAGTGACAGGACGGTACAAACAACAATCAGACGAAGTTTCCTGAGGCAAAACAAATTTCCAAGGTTATTGTAATGCCTGAAAAGACAAAGAAAAACCTGCTTGGATAAGGAGTACTAATTATATTTCATTTTACCTAGTCAAAGAAATGGTCCTAATTTTTTCATTTTACAACAAAAATCCTAAGTTTCAGTGAAATTGCAGAGGGAGTAAGTTTTATAAACATCCAAAGTGGCAAATTAAGAACTGAAACCCACTTCCCCAGTCACCACTTGAGTGCTCTTAAACATAAAAGAGAAAGTAGCTGTGCTTCAGTGTCTAAATAATGGATATAACTGGTCTTAAGGGGTATGCCTGGAAGAAAGGAATAAGGAAAGAAAAAAGCAGGCATACCTTCTGACATGCTTTAAGTGATGTCTGACTGGTGTCCTTAGAAATATGTTCAAACATATTTCAGTAGGCTGTGAGTTTCTTAGTCTTCAAGATCATTGGATTCAGTGGGTCACATACTTCCACCAATCTCATTAAAGACAGCTGGGGAGACTTTAAATGGTATCACTCTTTGGTGAACTGTTCAAGTCCTCGGCCCATTTTTAAAATTTGACTATTCAACTTTTTCTTGTGGGTGTTTCAGAGTCTAGATTTCAGAGATTAGTTGTTTGTCTGATGGTTGCTGCTAAACTTTTTCCCAGTCCATGAGTTTACTTTTACTTCTGATGAAGTCTTTTGATGCAGCACACAATTGTCTTATTTTTATGTTAGGGCCCCGTGTCCCTACTTTCTCAGTGATGATCAATATAGGTATAGGATTTATATTTAGGTCTTCAATCCATCCAGCTATTATTTTTTGACTCTTAATTTTATTGGCCAGAAATTTTGAGAATTTTTATATCTGTGTCCATAAGGGATATTGATCTCTAATTTTCTATTGTGGCAATTTCTTTGATTGGTCTTGTTATTAAGTTATGCTCACTTCATACAATGAATTTTGGAGTTTTCCATAATTTTTTATACTCTGGAATAATTTGTGGAGAATTGGTATAAACTCCTCTGTAAATACTTCGTAGAATTCCTTGGTGAAGCTATCTAATCCTAGACTTCTTTTTGTTGTCGCTGGAAGTTTTTTAACGTTCTGATCTATTTCTTCTGTTGCTGTGTGGGTCTGCTGTCCATTTCATGCAGCTGATCAAATTTGGTATAGTAGTACTGGTATTATCATTTTTGTTTCAGTTGGTTCTGTTGTGGTATCATCCCTTTACTTTCAATTTCTTATTCTTGATATTTGCAACAATCTTTTCCCTTTAAAAAAAAATCATTTTATTGGAACTCTCACAATTCTTATCACAATCCATACATACATCCATTGTGTCAAACACATTTATACATTTGTTGCCATCATCGTTCTCAAAACATTTGCTTTCTACTTGAGCCCTTAATATCAGCTCATTTTCCCCCTTCCTCCCCGCTCCCAGTCTTCTTTTTCCGTTAAGTTTGATAGTGGTTTGTCAATTTTGTTAATCCTTCAAAGAATCAACTCCTTGTCATACTGATTTTTTTCAATTGTTTTTGTTTTACAATTCATTTATTTCTGCTCTAATCTTTATTCCTTTATTTTCTTCTGGTGGCTGAGGTTTATTTTGTTGTTTTTATTCTATCTGTTGAAAATATTTGGTTAATTTGTTGAGTTTTGTTCTCTTTTCTTTTTTGATGTTCACGCTTTCTGTTACAAAATGCCCTCTGAGTACTGCTTTTGTTGTGTACAATGGTTTGGGTCAATTTTATTTTCATTCGTTTCAAAGAATTTTTAGATTTCATTTCATATTTCTTCAAATACTCAGTAATTATTACGCAGGGCGTTATTCAATTTGCATGTACTTTTTTTCCTCTTCTTTGATAGGGGACCCCTTTCGGTGTGTCCTCTGCTGCTGCTGAGTACAAGGACTGGTACAAGCTGAAAAGCTAATCTGTAGACTCAGCCTAGAGAGCTCTGCTTTTCAAACACAGGCTTTGATGCATTTGTGTCTTCGAACCATCCAGTGATGGACAACTCTTCCCCAAAGAATCGAAGTCGCCAACAAGGGTGATCTGAATGCCTACTTTTCTCACCTGCAAAATGGGTTGAATGCATAGTTCCACAAAGCACAGCAAGGGGAGAAAAACTGCCTTACTATAAATATGTAATTAAAGTGGCCTAAGACAGAACAACACCTGATTAGCAAAACCATATAGAAAAATGATCTATTGCCGGTCAGTGAATATAATTTCAAATTTCATAGCATTGTGGCCAAGAAAACAGTTTATGATATTTCAATGTTTTAAAATGTATTAACATTCCTTTGTGGCCATTGAAATTCAGCCACCATTTAAAATTGGGCAGAGGAAACTGACAGTTCACCACAGAAGACACCCAGGCTGCCATCAAGCATTTCAAGGAAATGTTTACGTTTACATCAAAGCAATGATGAACTATCACCTTACATTGGCACTGATTTAAAAAAAATTATAAACCCAGAAAATAACAAATTCCAGAAAGGGTTTTGAGGGGCTGGAACTCTCATACAATGTGGACAGGGCTATAAAAATCCCCTTACAGGAGTGTCGCTGGGAGGAGACGAGCCACTCAGGGTGTAGGGTAGCAATGATGAAACATACTCCTTTCCTTTGATTCTTTAATGCTTCTCCCCACCCCTTCCATGATCCCAATTCTACCTTACAAATCTGGTTAGACCAGAGGATGTACACTGGTACAGATAGAACTGGAAACACATGGAATCCAGGACACATGAACCCCTCAGGAGCAGTGGTGAGAGTCGCGATACCGGGAGGGTGGAGGGAAGGCGGGATAGAAAGGGGAAACTGATCACAAGGATCTACATAAAACCCCCTCGCCCTAGGGGACGGACAACAGAAAAGTGGGTGAAGGGAGACATCGGACAGTGTAAGACATGACAAAATAATAATAATTTATAAATTGTCAAGGGTTCATGAGGGAGAGGGGAGCGGGAAGGGAGGGGAAAATGAGGAGCTGATACCAAGGGCTCAAGTAGAAAGCAAATGTTGTGAATGATGATGGCAACAAATGTACAAATGTGCTTGACAAAATTGATGTATGTATGGATTGTGATAAGAGTAAGAGTCCCCAATAAAATGATTATAAAAAAAAGCCAGAGACCCTTATTTCAAATAGCCCAAGTCAAGAAAGAGTATGATTATGGGTTAGGTTGGCCAAGGATGATTGACTACTAAATTATTAACTACTAGGTTTAAGAATATATTATGGATTTGTAGTATCAAACAATAACATCTGAAAAAAATTAGTAATCATTGAAACTTTAAAACATACTAAGAATCTCCAAGGGAAAAATGAAAAAGAATAAAAAGATAAAATTTAGTAGAGGTGGCACCAGCTAAAAATTTAACTAGTCAGAAAGTTTCCAAAAATATTTAATATTTGAATTTAAGATGCAATAACAGCAGTTTAGAATGTAACCATGTTTTCAGAATTTAGAGCTGTTTTCATTAACAATTTATAAAATTGTAATGCCGAGGGAAAAAACCTGCACCAAACCAAACAACTCAATGAACCTGGGTCAGAAGGCTTATCCTCACTGACATTTACTATTCTATAGTTTATTCCACACAAGAAAACCATACACAAAATAAAATACTCACTCTCGAATAGCTATTTTTTCAGAATGCCTTGAAGATACTGAAGACATGCTCTGTGACATCTTTAAAGAAAAGTTCAAAAAAAAAAAAGAAAGAAAGAAAAGTTCATTTAGGTTATATGTTGTGTCATAGCTTTAAGACTCTAAATTTATTATTTTCACTAATATAGTTCTAATACTTCAGAGTTCAGTCTTACTTGACAAATGTACCTACATTTGATTAAAAACAGAATATATAATCACATTTAATTATAAATACTAATTTAATCTATAGAAATAAAATACCACAAATAAGGATACGGGAATTCTTAGAGCAGAATCATAAAATTCTAGCATGCTGGTTTTCAAATCCTTCCTTTGGTAGAAAAAAAAATTCTTTATGGAGCTACATGGCCAACCCGGCCAACAGACTAAATGGCCTGAAAGCCTATCCTGGTGCTTGCTTTGTAGTTTCTCGATAGTATTTTAAAATTAGTTCCATGGACTAACCAACGACATTATAAACAGAAGCCCTTATGTTCCAGGAAGATGCTCCATAAGATTCTCTACCATAAATTAACAAGGTAAACCAGGGGCAGATAGCAAATGAAAAACATAGATTCAAGAATAGATTAGGGGCTCACACTTAGTCCTAGCTCCAATTTTAAAAGAACTAGTTCTTAAGACATGGCCCTGCACAACACTCACCCTCATGAAAGAAACACAGAAGATAACGGGTGCTATAACAAAGTGTGATGAAGAAATCAGATGGTGCCCAGCTATTAGAAACAATAGTGTCTGGGGTCTTAAAGGCTTGGTTTCAAACAAGCAACCATTAGAGTGAGACATTAACTAAGTCCACAGGGAAGAAAAAAAGCACATCACCATCCATAATCTAAGGATTATAAATAATATAATCCAAGGAGGGAATAGTATCAGAGCTTAAATTGTTAGATTCTGGTGTGGATGACAGTGGAAGCTCAAAATACATTTGTAGGATTTACACAGGAATTAAGCCTCCAAGAAGGGTGGGAATAACCTGGTTTTTCAGAGAGAATATTGAGAGACGACTTTAATAGATTGCAATGAAATATTTGACTTGAACGGTTAAAATCTTGTCACTTGATCTCCTTTTCGATACACTTAGTGCTAGATCTGGTTTATAATTTTTCTGGTTTTCTTTTTCATATTGTGGTTTGTCTCTGCTGTATTTTGTTACAATTAGTAACTTTGACTCCCGGTTATGATGTTTTCTGTTTTTGGTATGCGAAACCTAGGATAGGTGAATCTTTACAAACAATAACTAGAATAAGAGTTATAAGAGTTCCTGGGGGGTGCAGCAGGGAAGACGGGAGGGGGTAAAGAGGGAACTGATATCAAGGAGTTCAAGAAGGAAGAAAATATTTTAAAACTGATTGTGGTAGCGATTGTACAAGACTGCTTGCTATGGCATGGTATGATGTCTTGGGGGGGGCGGAGAAATTGGGGTTAAAAAACTGGGGTTGGGTAAAGTCCCTTTTCTCTTATGTCAGTTTAACTTCCTTTGAAGTGCCCTTTGCAATTGTTGAGAGCACAAAGACTAGTACACGCTGACTAGCTAATTTGTTCACCGAGCCTAAATAGCTCTGCTCTTCAAACAGATTTTAATCCACTGTCTGTCTTTATACCACTGAGCAATGAGCCCCTGGTTCCAAAGAATAAGGGTCACCTACATGGTCGGCCTGAATGCCTACCTTTCCTACAGGCAAAGTAGGTCTCGTGTATACTTACTCAAAGATCAACTGTCTCACACATACATATGTGTGTGTGTGTGTGTGTTTGTACAGAAAGGCGAAACAGTAAAGAAAAGCCTAATAGTAATAAACAGCAACTAATTATCGAAACAATACAGAAAAATTAAGACAAGTTTGGCCACATTCTACTCACTTGTTTAGCATGAGGATAAGTAAAAAACGCCTTGCTTTTCGGGTTC